TGTAGTAACTTGCAGTTATGTTGACTCATGTTTTTCGGCTTTATGTATTAAGATAGATCGAAGTTTATCGGGTTCAATTAACAATTTATTTATATTTATCGCTTAACATGAGCTTCGCATTAAGGCTTGCTGTGAATTTATTTTACTTGTTTATCAGTACATTGATAACGATATTGTAATGTATGATGATAAATATTACATGTGTATATAAAGAACGAATTCCAGTATAGTCAATCAACTCGCTTGCTTGCTTTCGAATCGGTATCTTCATATATAGTCTATCTCTTTGTAGCGGACACTTTAGGGACCTCGAGTTAGTATCTTCATTAACGAGAGTCTGTAATAGCGGGAGTTCATTTCAGTCAAACGTCTGTAATTTATTTTTGCCGGGGGTTTAGCTGCTGGCCCTATTATCGGGGTGTCCGTTATAGCGGGGTGTCCGCAAGGCAAGAGTTGACTGTGCGCATGTGTACAATTGAACTACGCAGTTATACAAACACGTCTTTTGCAATTAGTTTCCATTTTGTCTTATCTTGATCAGTTCCAGCATAACTTTACGTAGGTCCCTGTTCCTTCCGCAGTATATAACAGGATTAAAGAGGGAGTTCCAAAAAACACACGAAAACGCTATAGGTAACAGTTGTAGCTGACTTTCAGGGTAATTGCTGGGAAGGATATCGATTAATCTTAACAAGCCGTCCAAAATTCCTGGTACATATGAAAGAAACAGAAAAGCGAGAATTACGCTGGTAGTTTTAAAAGCTTTTCTTTCCTCTTGGAATTTTGCCTTCGTTTCGCTGGAAAGATGTTGAGTTTTGATCTGATTCATATGTCGGCGTGAAACAAAATATACTGTTGTATGACAAAATACAATAACCAAAATGGCTGGAATAACAGTTACATACACAGGAAGTCCTGAAAGCGTGGAACGAGTCAGTTGCGTTAAATAGGAAATTAAAGGAATGGCTGAAATCAGCCAACTACAAACTACAGCGCCAATTAACCTAGGTGTGGTCACGATGCTAGCATATCGAAGTGAAAACTTCATGGCTACATATCGCTCAGTACTTAGTAAAGCTAAGATCAGCAACGATTCAATACATGGAACGAGATAAATAAAAACTATCTTTTTGTAGAAGAAACAATAATCCACCTGCGATGGACCCGACAGAAAGTAGATTTCCTGTGCGATGAATAATGGCTGTGATACTACACCCACTGCCAGATCTGTTACCGCTAAGCAAGCCAGTAGTATGTTGTACGTTGACTGTAATCTGCGTCGTGTTTTTACCGCGACGATCACCAACACGTTCATCAAGATGATAAAAGGGCATGATCCTAAGTTCAACGCGATGGAAAACAAACTAGTCACAGTGTTCACCAAAATATACTCTTCGTCTCTCCTGCGGCAAATAATTGATTCATTAAGTGCGAAGTCACTACTGACGTTCATCTCCAAGTTGCTTGAGAGAATCTCACCGTCTTTGAGGAGGTTAATACTTTATATTTTTCAATTTGTAAACCTACAGCTGCCAAGCAGAATGAACTTACTCTTAACGCTGATCTAGCTGTGGATAGATCGATATATCATGTCCAAGAAGTGTTATCAACTGCATTAGCTTTTAAAGCTGATTGGGTTTAAAAGTAAATCATTCATAATTTTTTGTTTCCTTCTCGCAAATCTAGGATTACAATGACTTCCTTTTAATAAATATATCTGAATGCGAATTGCAAGTTATTAACGGAAAATGAAAGGACGCCTACTTCAATCATTAAGAGTGGAGAGCAGAATATGATGAGTAATTAAAACTGACATGCATGCTTTTAAATTTAAAAGCCTATATTGATAAATCGCCTCTCAAAAGAAAGCTCCGGACAATAATATTCTTTTTGGTAAGACTTTCAGTTACGGTCCAACTAAAATCCATAAAGGTAAAAATGCTTTCTGACAATTGTTATTACTGTCACTATATTAACTCATTTTATTGATGAAAGGGAGAGTTTAAAGTATAAGATGAACAAACTTAACTGACAAAATATGTTAATATGTGTGACCTAAAACATTTCTCTTTATTGCACAGGGATTTCCAGATTTCCGTGATTTCAATAATTTTTTTGGAAATACCCTGTGTGATCTAAAACGTCTCTCTTTTTATCGCACAAGGATTTCCAGGTTTCCGTGGTTTCAATTATTTTTGGAAATATCCTGTGTGATACAATAATCTCCACTTAAAACGACCTATTTCTAACCCAAATATTGTACGGAATGTTACTGTTAAAATAATAATAGGCAAAATTTAGAGTCAGTGTAGAGTATAGTATCATCATTGCTCCATAATCAAACGAACGATAAACCGTATACTGTTGTGACTGTTGTTATACGTTGTTGCTTAAGAAAACTTTACCGCCTAACGGTAGATAGTATTCAATCTTCTTGGTTACGTGAACGTCATTGGGAATGCAAGATCGCAAGATCGATATAAAAGGCCGATCATTAGCTTTCATTGAATACATTAAAATATCAGTTAAGCAATAAGTTCTCTTCACCTGTGGATATTAGATGCTGAGCAGTTCAGGAGAGAAATAATTTTTTATCACTTAAAGCAGACATTTTTCGGTGAATATTGAGAGTTACTTTTACTTTAGTCTTTTAGAGACAATTAGTTCTGAATTTATATGAGATTCAGAGTCTATGCAAACTCAACTTAGTGAGGTACAACGAAAAGTATAATAAATGCCGGAGAGAAAATAAACGTCAGATTACCGACAAAACTGACTGGAAATTAAGTAAGACTGAAAAACAATTACAGAACGAAAAAGGAAATAAGGACAGGAAAGCGAAATGATGTGGAAAAAGTCAAATCTGTCGCGAATAAACAATTTACATACCTGATTTCATAGCCAGTATTGTTTTAAAACATGCCCACCCTTTTTGACACTTTCAAGGAAGATTTTCACGCTACTAAATTTCAGTCTTCACCTTGTCTTAACCGTTTCTTGTATTCAGTTCAACCTTTTGAAAATACTTTCAAAAATGGCGGTCATTTCAGTCACAACAAACAGATCTGGCGGTGGGGAAAGCGCAAAGAGAGGGTCTTGACTACATAATTGTCTTTGTACTACCTGACACTCTTGGCGACGCCTGTTTCCCTTTCGTAAAAGGACTTAGCATGTACAGTCGTTTCCATTATTAGAGGTCACTTTCATCACACCAAGTCTATAATCATGTTAGATGAAACATATTATCTGGACTTATTTACCGTAAGGCAAAAAAAAAGCTGAAAATACATTTTAATGCAGTCCTAGGAAGTTGTATTTAATAAAGACAGTTTTTTGAAATATGTGCTTAAGTTTTTCGGAATTTTGATGGGTCGGTGTGGCAACGAATTCAGGGTAAGGGAGATTATTAGATTGGTATGCGAAAGGCCCTGGAACTTCTTTCTTTTTAATTTAGTGGAAACACTCCTATAGCAGGCCAAAAATTGTCTTAGCTGTAAGTGTCTTAATAAAACAAGTCAGCGACCGTTTACGAAAAAAAATGAGCCTCTCTATGAGTACCTGAGGACGTCGTTTTTGTCGCGCGTTTTCCATCAAATCTTCGGTTTTTCAACGAAATATATAGTCGTATATCAAGAATTGCTTTACTTGGTAACGCTACAAGAGAGCAGGAGCAACTACGATGACCGCAACAGAAACGAGAAAATAAAAGAAATATATGAGAAATAGGTTGGATGAGAAAAATAAAAAGTCTCAACAAGCAGCACACTGTTTCTCACTGTTCCTCAGAAACTGTTGTCTAGTACCTCCAAACTTTCCATCTTCAACATATCTAAGACTCCCCCTTCATATTTTTATTATAATTTACTTTCATAAGTAGGTGGGATATCCTTTAGGTACAAACCTCTCACAATAATGAACTTTATGCATACTTATAACATTAATATTCGCGACTAACTGTGAGCCTGAGTGTTGACCGTCTGAATACCATAAAATCATAAGGAACAATAACATTGGAGAGATGATTAAAAATGGCTGGAACACGCGAAAGGTCAAAAGGGAGGCGGTTATCCACGAAATACTCATAACAAGCGAGAAGGGTCGTGTTCTCCCATGAATCATTCAGCGAATTCCCTGCAGCTGGCGATGTGGAGGATAGACAGGCACCCAACACCAGGCAGGGTTGATATCAACGATAGCGGAGAAATAATTTAAATATATTAGCTCATATGTAAATGGGTGAAATAGAAGAATTGCCGACAGTATTCCCGAACTAACTTGTTGTGAAACTTGTCAAATTCATGCCAAAACAAAGTCTTGAATGGCCTCTCCGAACTATTCTTGCCGAATTTACTTTTATTCGTGTCTTTTATCTCAAGCTGTTTTAACCGTTCAAGATCTTTGCACGACATTTTTAAAGCAATTAGGCTCCGTCTTCTTTTTGCTTTAGTGGATTCTCTTTGTTTATCAAATCTTTGTACTGATCGCATGAAAATCATACCATCTGGAGCCAAAACGGACCCAATAACAAACATATAACTTCTTGTTTATCGTTATTATCTTCTTGATGTTTGATGATCTAATGGTAATAAAACTGATGTATACAACGTTTAAAAGAAACATATTGATGGCGCCAGAAGCAATTCAGTATAGTATAATTACTTACATGAATTACGCAGTAAATGCAAAGACGTCTTTTGAACTAGTTTCAGTTTTGTCTTATCTTGATCAGTTCCAGCATAACTTTACGTAGATCTTTCTTTCTCCGGCAGTATATGAGAGGTTTAAAGAGGGAGTTCAAAAACACATAAAAACGTAATAGGCAACAATTGTATCTTATTTTCAGAATAATTCGTGGGCAGGATGCCGATTAATCTAACCAACCCATTTAAAATTCTTGGTACATAATATGAAAGAAACGGAAAAGTGAGAATTACACTGGTAGTTTTAAAGGCTTTTCTTTCCTCTAGGAATTTTGCCTTCGCTTCGCTTTAAAGATATTGAGTTTTGATCTGATTCATATGTCGATGTGAAACAAAATATACTGTTGTATGACACAATACAATAAGTAAAATGGCTGGGAAAACAGTTGCGTACACTTCATCTGCAAAGCGTCCTGAAGACGTGGAACGCGTCCCTGGTACCAACCAGGAAATTAAAGAAATGGCTGATATAGGCGAACTAAAAACCACAGCCCAAATTAACCTAGGTATTGTCACGATGCTAGCATATCTTAGTGAATACTTCATGGCTATATAACGATCAGTACTCATTATAGCTAAGATCAGCAAAGATTCAAGACATGGAACGAGGTAAACCGAACTTGTCAGTTTGAAGAAGTAACACTCATCCAACTGCGATGTACTCGACAGAAAGTAGATTTCTCTTGCGATTAATAATGGCTGTGAAACTACATCCACCGCCAAATCTGTTCCCGTTAAACAAGCCAGTAGTATGTTGTATTCGCAGTGTAATCTGCGTCGTGTTTTAATCGCGATGGTCACCAACATGTTCATGAAGATGATAATAGGGCATGATCCTATGTTCAGCGTGATGGAAAAGAGACTAGCGAGAATGTTCAGCGTATTAAATATACTCTTCTTCTCTCCTGCATGCGGCAAATAATTGATACATTAAATGCAGAGTTATTGACGTTCGTCTCCTTTTTCTTGAGACAATCTTATCGTCTTTAAGGTGACTCGATCCAGTTTTTTTTTTTTTTGGGGGGGGGGGTACCATCCTACTTTGAAGCTTTCTGGTTTCCCCACCTTTACTTTTGTCGTAAGTCTAACACATAAAATGGATAACATATAGATCAATCTACAATATAACATAAAATTTTTGGCGATCGGAGAAAATGTCACGTGGTTATAATGCCACGCCCCTTCGCGGTCTGAGTCGAAAATCTGCTGTTGCCGGCATTTTTTCGTGAAAATCTCTCGGCTACACAAAGTGCGTATTAGTGCCTTGCGCTGAACAGAGTCGTGTTTTAATCAATGACCATGAAATTCAGAGTCCGGGTAGTTAGTTAATCAATTGTGGCCCTGAAAAAATTTGAAGGAAAGAAAACTACGAATTTTTAAGAAAATGCTTTTTTCGTGAGATTGACTCTTAAACGCTGACAAACGTCAACAAAAAGCGAAAACTATAATTTCTGTATGTTTGCTTTGCTCGAAATCGCGCGCATTTACAAGGCCATAAATTGTTTTGCGGACTTGCAAGGACCCATCTGTTATAACGATGCCCAAAATACAGAAATGAATCTCATAGTTTATTCGATATAATCCGTGTAAAGTTTGCTTATCATTTTCGCATAAATTATGACCTAAATTTGGAAACCGCTGAATTTCTCGAATTGGGTCTTTGCGATTTTGGTGAAACTCTGTTCAGCACAAGGCACTAATGCGCACTTTGTGCAGCCGAGAGGTTTTCACGAAAAAATGCCGGCAACAGCAGATTTTCGACTCAGACCTCAAAGGGGCGTGGCATTATAACCACGTGACATTTACTCCGATCGCCAAAAATTTTATGTTATATTGTAGATTGATCTATATGTTATCCATTTTATGTGTTAGACTTACGATAAAAGTAAAGGTGGGGATACAAGAGAGTTTCAAAGTAGGATGGTACCGCCCCCAAAAAACTGGGTCGAGTCACCTTAAAGCAGTTAATATTTTTTCAACTTGTAAGTCGACAGCGGTCAAGCAGAGTGAATCGGCTCTTAACGCTGATCTAGCAATGGATAGATCGACACATCATGCTCAAAGAGTGTTTTTAACGGCCTAAACTTTCAAATTTGATAAGGCTAACATAAATCGTTTATTAGTTGTGATTTTCCTTTTTTGCAAATCTAGAATTTCAAAGGACAACAGTCTTTAAATAAACTAAGAAAGTTGAAGACTAATTGCAAGAGATTAACGGAAAAGGACGCCAGTTTCTTCAAATACACACTGTACCCATAAAAGGCGGAAGGCGGCATTTAACGAGTGATCAAAACATAGTACTCTTAAATTCAAAAGCGTTTATTAGTTCAGACCAAGCCTCGGTGATAAATTGCCTCTCAAAAGAAAGTTATGGACACCAATATTCTTTTGCTAAGTCTTTCAGGGTTCTTATATCAAAAGCGAAAAACGAATAATGCACGAAAACTTAAAAAGGGCTTTCTGAGGCTTAAAAATTGGTCACCATAATTCATCCATTCGTCTATGTGACTCTTGAAACGAACCATAGTCACTGCAGAATCCACGGATTATGTTGCTACCTGTTAATTAAAAATGACAGCTTTAAAATACTTCTGGTCAATTTAACTGATCGTCGGCAAAAAGGCCTTACGAATCTCCCATACTTAACAAATATTAGCAAAGTACATAATCCTGTCTGGATCTCTGATTGGGCCATTTACAAATAAACATGAACAGTTTAAGCACTTAGAAGCTCTTCTGTGTTTTCGATCGAGTTGTATTTTAATTACTCCAATGGTATGACCAAAAGAGGATGAAGAATTGGTAGGTATGACGCAGATGATCTACGGCAATATGTGGCAATACATGGTGCAGTGGAAAAAGTAGTATTAAAGCACACAAAATACAGTAAAAATTTCTTTTCATCTGATAAAGTTACGGCAAAGACATTTTTTCCCTTAGCCTAATAAAAAACCCAACTCGGTGTTTTATAAAATAATGACTGAGCAATTAACCCATCCAGAAGTCTTTTTGACCCTCCATTATGAACTCGCAATTTTATAAAATCTGATGAAAATATTAAATCAGCTTTATCAAATAAGGATGAAAGATAGTTTTTAAAAAAGGTGATTGTATCAATGTTAAAATAAGAGCTGGAATTTGATTTGGGTGCATCAGCCCTCGAGACAAGAAACTCTCTAAATGTAAATAAGGCTAGGACTTTTCTGTTTTGCTTTACCTAGACTGTTCACAGTCCCCTGTTTTTTCGTGAGATCGTTTAGATATACCGCGTCTAACCGTCACGGCTATCTTGATTTTCATCTGATAAATTGACACTCATGCAAGATGGCAGCCCGTAACGCAAAGCGCTCGATCTCGATGATCTTACGGAAAAATAGAGGACTGTGAACAGTCTATGCTTTACCATAAGCTTTTTCTACGACTATAACGGCGAAAGCGACAAATAAAAGTCTTAGCTGGCGTTTCGTGGCTAATTGTCAACGACACACTCATACCGATTACAATCAAATTGATACTCTCATGTGCTGACTCGACGTTATATTCTTAACATATATGTTATGGTGAATTTACACTGAAATGAATACAAAAAGCATCTCATAAATGTATAAATATAAAGGTACGTCGAACCTTCCGAATGGTAAGTAATGGAGTTGAAAATCCTCTTGAACATACAATGACGTCTTTAAAGTTAGTTTCCATTTGGTCTCATTTTGAGCAGTTCCATCATACTTTGACGCAGATCTTTGTTTCTCCAATAGTGAATAACAGGATTAAGGAGCGAGTTTAGGAAAATACATGACAAAACTAAAGGCAAGAGATTTGTCTGCCATATATCGCGTTTTAATATACCGTACAAAAGTGATGGCACATACGAAAGAAATACGAACGCGATAATTATACTAGTAGTTTTCAAGGCTTTCCTTTCTTGTAAGAATTTAGTCTTCGCTTCGCTTGGAAGCTGTTCTGTTTTGATCCGATTTATATGCCGGCGTGAAACAAGATAAACTGTCGTATGACAGAATGCAATGATTAAAATGGCTGGGATAACAGTTACATAAACGAACACTTTGGCAAGTAAACGTGTTGCCGGTATTAAGCTTAAAATTACAGAAAAAACTGAGATAATCCAACTACAGAGTACAGTGCCAGTTAACCTAGGCGTGGTCATGAGGCTAGCATATCTAAGTGAGAACTTCATAGCTATATAGCGCTCCATACTTAGTAAAGCTAAGATCAGCAACGATTCAATACTTGGGAAAAGACAAAGGAATACGGTCTTCCTGTAAAAGTGGCAGTAATCCTCCACCGATGCACCTGAGAGAAAGAAGATTTCTTGAGCAATGAATAATGGTTGTGAAACTAAGCCGACTGCCAGATCTGCTCCCGCTAAACAGGCCAGTAGTATGTTGTAGATGGACTGTAATCGGCGTCTTGCTTTTATGGCGATGATAACTAACGCATTCATCAAGATGATAATGGGACATGATCCTAAATTCAGCGCGATAACAGGCAAAGTAGCGAGGATGTACTCCCAAAAATACAGCTCTTTCGCCACGCGACAACTAGCAACATCCTTTATAGTGGATGAGGAATTAGTGAAATTCATCGCTGCTGTTTGGAAGTGTGTCCTTATATATAGGTCGAAATTTGTTAGCTGTTCTAATGCGTCGACATGTTCGTTATTGAAAAGTCTCTGTCGGTTACAGATTCTGAACACAAAGCTCTATACACTGACGCAGATGGTAAAAGCGTGTCTAAAGGCCAATCGCTTTTCTGGAAGTGATTTAAGTACGGGATTACCATTCAATCTGAATGGACCACATAATAATCCCTCTATTATTTGTCTCCCCGTTAATGACGGTCTCAGTCTCCGGTTCTCTTCGTTAGGGTTTTCGGTTTTTTCATAAAATTGTTATAGTACTTTTATTTTTTTCACATTACATAATGTAGCTGTTGTTATTCAAAATATAAAATCTACTAAGGTAAAATGCGTTCTTATAACTGTCATTCATGTCGATATATAAACTCATTTTATTGATGAAAGAGAGAATGTTGAGCATTTGCGATTGACGGAAAAGAATAAAATGAACGAACTTTACTAACAAACTGGGTAAATATGAGAATTCTGTGGAACTTAGAGACCCACCACCAGATCTGTTCCTGCTAAACAAGCCAGCAGTATGTTGTACGTGGACTGCAACCTGCGTCGTGTTTTAATCGCGATGATCACCAACATGTTCATCAAGATGATAATTTGGAATGATCCTCAGTTCAGCCCGATGGAAAAGAAACTAGCGAGAATGTTCACCAAAATTAACGAAATTACTGATGTGCGTTTCCTTTTTCAGGAAAGCAAACTGTTTCACCAGACAATGTTTTTCTATTCGACATTGGATACAGCAATCGGATGACATATTTCGTTGACACAAGCCCTAATTTTGTCATTTAGGGACTGGTCAAAAAGTATAGGCGGGGGTGGGCCGGAGGAGAGAGGGGGTGGGTCATGAGGTTTTGAGCCTTGTGAAAGGGGTGGGTCGTGCAATTTTCAGCTACCCTTAAGGGGTGGATCACCCTATTTTTTACTAACTTCTAATGAGACAGTTGACAATACTTGTTATATAAAACACAGCCAGCTAGAATTATTGCTAAAATACTCACAAACCTGTTGTGCGAGAAAATACAAGGGTTGACAGGCCGCACATCTATACAGGCGTGGAACCCTCTGTTAACCTTTTTTTTTCGGCTCTAACGAGCATGTCCTTTAACGATTTTCCTTTTTTGTAAGGAAATGATTGGTCGTTCTTTAAAAATTTATTGAAGTTATAATTGGTTTTGTATAAGATTCCATTTTTTCATTCAGGCTTCCTTTATAGTAGACACTGAGGGCTGGTATTGTGTCACGAATGACAATATTTCTTTTTCCTCCTTGTTGTTTTGTTTTAGGAGTTTAGACTGCCTTTTATTTTGTGAATTTTATTTCTGATAGTAGGTTTTCTATGAAAGATAGGGGACACACAACGAGAATATAGTTCAAAACCACTTAAACATAGCATTGTTAAACGTATTTTAGTATTTGAACAGTAGATATAGGCATATTTTTATCCCCTAAAAATTTTTCATCTGTTCGGATCTCCTGGCTGAAAGTCTAGTGATACGAAAATTAAAGGGATCAAAACTTACCTTTTCGAAAATTTCAGCCAGAAAAAAGGCTCTCGAAAATTCTAGGTGACCTTTTAAGGGTAAAAATCATTTAAAAATGGGCAATTATACCATTTTTTTAGATGTTCGAAAATCCTAGGAGGGGGCAGACAAGCAAGAAATTTTACAACAAATGTTCCGAAAATTCTAGATCTCAAATCGTCTTTCGAACAGATATTTTCCGAAAAATTGACGTTGGGTGCCCCTGAAAGATTGTGGGTAGCCTCCGTCCGTCAAGCGTTTTTTTTTAAATTTGAATTATTTTCCTCAAAGGTTGTTTCTGAGGAGGCTTCTCCTTTGACAAATTCTATTTTAACATTTGGAGGGTGACACGAGGTGAAATGTGTGTTTAAAATGTGTCTTTGCATCAAGGATAGATTTTTCCTTGAATCTTGTGCCTTTGTATACAACCGTGTCTAAAAACGCAGTCTCAGTGTCAAATGTTTCGGCCGTGAATTCAATGGTTGGGTGATGTAAGCTTGCTTGTTCAATGAAGGCTTCGATGTCTCGTTTACTCATGTCCCATAGGGAAAAGATATCGTGTATGTGGCATTTCCAATCTGTTGTTCTAAAGACAGTTTTGCTTAGAGTTGTTTCAATATATGTCATGAAAATATTGGCAAAGGAATCAAAACTGCTGTCTTTGTGCCCGTTACAGTTCCAAGGTTTTGTAGGTAGTGCTTTCCACTGAAGAGGAAGAAATTTTCTTTGAGGATTAATCTAAGCATTTCCGGGAAGTAATGTTTAGGAATGGGTTGTCTATGTTGAAATTTTCATATGTTTTGTGACAGATAATTTCAATATACCCTCGTTTTGCTGTATATTTGTGTCAAGACTCATAACGTCCATTGAAACAACAAATGTTCGGTTTTTCACATTCGTCTTTTCAGTGAAAGGTATGATTTCTGTGATTTTGATATTGGTTGTAGCAGTGTATCAACAAATTTTGTCAAGCACAGAATAAGGTTTTATTGGATTATTAAGAGGAAACCGAACGTCCATGTTTTAACTAGGGGGTGGGTCATGCAATTTCCAACCTTGCTTTAGGGGTGGGTCAGTCATTTTTGTGCCGAAGGGAGGGGGTGGGTCATGTGTTTTTTATCAACCACATTTCCAAATGCTCCGGCCCACCGCCCCCCACCTATACTTTTTGACCAGTCCCTTACTAGCAACTTCGTCGCCACTATTGCCCCGCTTTCCAACAACATGCGACCACAAGTAAAAAATGCAGACGTCTCGGGAAACACGTGCGTTCTTCAGCGGGTTCAAAAAGTCACGTCTGTAGGTTGTACCTTATTATTACTTATTTTCGTGAGACTTAATTTAAAAAGTCCTGCGAAAAAAGGTGCCGCGAAAATTAAAGACGCAAAATTTAGTGACCTTTATAAAAACCTTTATTGAAATTTTCTGTCTGCCAGGAGTAAACGTACGAGTAGGAGGGCTAACACGTCAGTTCGACGCATGCCCTTATTCCTCATCATCTGACTCGGCATCTTGCTGAATTAGGTATGGGACCATTAGAAAAGTGATGGGGGCTAGGGACGTTTTGTACATGTAAGGTGGAAATCTTTTTCTTTTTTTTCTCCTTGGGCATATTTCTTTTGGCCACAATTCGTAGGAACCTTAGTACAGTCTTCAAATTTGCCATCAACATATCCCGGCATAAAGCGGAGATATGTTTACAACTTGGTATTCGGCCGAAGTTAAGAAACAAATGGAGTCAGGGAACAGCACAGATGAGGTTGAGGTTGATTTAAGGCTATCTGTGCTGAAGCCCTTACAAACCACCTGGCTGGTGTGCCTTTACAGCCACTTGACGGGCAGTGTGGGAAGGCGACGGCACTTTGCAAAAGAAGAAAGGCAGAAATATCCGAACTTCAAGGGAAGAACACCTTATCGCCTGAAGATCCATTTGAAAACATTGAGGCGATATCCTTATTTAAAAGCTTATTGGCTGCGCCATCGAGTTAAATAGTACCTCGGTTGCTTATATCAGTGTACTTTTAAAGATGTTATGTTGCTGACGTTGTTGAACATTTCAGCCACTTGCTTGTTGCGTTTCTATTCCGTTATGGTTAAAATTAAATAAAATGCAGAAATCAGGAAGTTTAAAAAAAGAGCACCAGTGTTATTGATTCGCGAAGTTTAATTACCTTGAAAAACGTTGATTCGTCCAAATCGCGAAATTTAAATGCTGCGAAATAATTCTGTTCCAAATTTTCGAAATTATAGTCTCGCGAGAATAGGTGATAATAAGGTAATCGGTTGATTTCGATCCATATTGCTTACTTCGTTTCGTGGTAATTATGATTGACAACTAACTTTCATGGAATGTATTGTTATTTTCCTGTAATCCGATTGGTCAACTTTGTCTAGGTGGCCTCAGTTATAGTAGTCGCACTGTAATTATTACAGCCTTAAAATACTTCTTGTCAATTTACCTGATCGTTGTCGGCAAAAAGGCCTTACGAATCTCCCATTCCTTAACAAGTATTAGCAAAGTACATTATCTTCTCTGGATTTCTGTTTGGGCCATTCACAAATAAACATGAACAGTTTAAGCACTTAAAAGCTCTTCAGTGATTGGAAGTTGTATTTTAACTACTCCAATCGGTAGGATGATTGCTTCTGAATGTGGTGTGACCAAGAGAGGATAAACCCTTGGTAGGCAGCATATGATCTACAGCAATATGGCAATACATGGTGCAATGGAAAAAGCAGGATTAAAGCACACAAAAGTAAAAATTTCTTTTTATCTGATAAAGTAACGGCAAAGCTCTATTTTTTTCCCCTTAGCCTACTGAAAGACTCAACTGTTTTATAACAAAAATGACTGAGCCACTAACCCATCCAGAAGTCTTTTTGACCCTCCATTATGAACTGGCAATTTTATAAAATCTGAGGAAAACCAACTTTATCAAATAAGGATAAAAGACAGTTGTTAAAAAAGGTGATTGTATCAATGTTAAAATAAGAACTGGATTAGTATTATTAGTAGTATTATTATCATCATGAGAAGTGGTGTCCTAGCAGAATTAGCCGAATTTTGGGGGATCAAAAGTGGGGATCAAAATTTAATAAATGCGTCATGAATAAAATGCGCGGGAAACTTGTTTAATTTATGCTAAAAATGTTCAGGCAAGTACTAGTAATGACGTCACAACACCATAGGGTCCATTTCACAGCTTAGCAAGCCCGTTGTTCTTTGAACTTAACAAGGATCAATTAAAACACGCGACTAATAAACGCTTCCCCCCCAAAAAAAAAAAAATAATAATAAAAATAACGTGTTCGCTTTTTTGTGTGTTATTGCTCCACAATCATGACACTGAAGAAAGCCCTCTTTCATGTTATTTCTCTCCTCGGGGATCTGGTGATCACATATAGGACAAATCTTGTATGAATCGTGCCAAGAGCAATTAGGACATTTCATGATCAATGTCCCGTACACATTAGAATTCTCAAAAAGTTCATAGGGATTTTCAGAGTGAAACGTGGTGGACGTTTCATGGCTATTACTTTCTGTTTCCTCACTGTCGTTTTCAGTGTCGTTGTCGTCCTCTTGGGTGTCATCGGCTTCATTGCCATTCTCAGAAGCCACTTCCTCCTCGATCCTCCTTTATCGATCCCTAACTCTGCAAGTCCATCTAGAAACGTATTCAGCGCACGAGGCTTGGCAACTTCATACTCGACTAGCTCGGCGATGTTTGTGACGGGGAATTATACGTTTATTTCAAAGTAATTGTCCGCGGGGAGTCCAGAAAAGAATATCTTTGGAAGCGGCCATACTATGCAGTAAATCAGGAGCACGCTTTTCCGACACCGCTCGAGAAAGATGACTCAAAACATCTTTTATTCTTGGTTCTTCATCTTCGCTTTTATCACCAGAACTTTCGCTTTCTTCATGTTCACTCTCGTGCTCTTCTTCAACCAAATCTATCTTTCTCTTCATTTTGATGAGTACCGGTGGGAGACGTGGCTTCGAAAGACCAACTTTGCGATGCGTCACCTCTTCTATAGCATTAGAAATCCTAAGCTTGAAACAACAGGGGCCAATAAGTCTTGAATAAAACCACTACCCTCTTGCACAAGGGCTCGCTTCTTTGTTTTATAGGGGACATCTGGTCTGGCCAGGTCAAGCAAAACATCCTTATATGACTGCAATATACGCCTATTTTCTTCGGGGATGGAAATGTGTGCCATAAGTATATTGTATAAGAGTTGGACTAGTGCATGTAGTTGTTGTGGAGTGGCTGTCTTTAAAAGAAACTGACGCTGATGAACAGGGCAATCAGCTAACAGCTGAAGGAAAACACGATTGTTGAGTACACGAGACATTGCTCCCAAATGAACTAACGATGGCAGTTGGTAGTCTTTTATAGAATCTCGTGGAGACCAAAATTAAACGAGTAGGAGGAGGATAGAAAACAATAGAAATGTGGTGGTGGTGGTGGTGGTGGTGGTGGAGGGAAAACAATAGAAATGTATTGGTGGTGGTGGGGGAGGGAAAACAATAGAAATGTGGTGCGGTGACGGGGGTGGTGGTGGAGGAGGAAAACAGTAAGAGTGTGGTGGTTGTGGCGGGAAAACAATAGATTTTTATGACATGAAAGCCTATATAAAAGCGCAACATGTTACCTCCTTCTCTGTCTACATACTGCTCCTGAGGAGATGAGTTGAGTTGGTTATGTTCTGTTTTGGTGGAGGGAAAACAATAGAAATGTGGTGCGGTGACGGTGGTGGTGGTGGAGGAGGAAAACAGTAAGAATGTGGTGGTTGTGGAGGGAAAACAATAGATTTTTATGACCTGAAAGCCTATATAAAAGCGCAACATGTTACCTCCTTCTCAGTCTACATTCTGCTCCTGAGGAGATGACTTGAGTTGGTTCTGTTCTGTCTGCGAAAAGTCCTTTAGTCGAAAGGATAGTATGAAAAGGCACATGATGTCTAAACACCGCAATGCTGGTATCACCCCATTTCAAACAGTTCCAACTGTGTTTTCACAGAAATGTCAGCGGTTTCGCTTCGAGCATCCTTTTACCTCCATTATTGCCGGAATGACCGGGTCCGAAAAAACGGCATGAGTTCGATCTCTATTACAGCAAGCTTCAAAGGCAATTTACCTTCCCCCGGAGAGAATCATTTGGTGTTATTCAAAATGGCATTCTGCGTATACAGAAATACTAGTGGCCATGCCACACATTGAATTTGTCAAGGTTATTCAAGGCTTTGGAGCAGGATTCCTATTTTGATGTGAACAAACGGAATTTGATCGTGTTTGATGATCAGATGATTGACGCAAGTAAAGACAAGTGAATTGTGACCCCCTTTACTCGTGCTTCTCATCATCGCAATCTAAGCGTGATTTATAGCGTGCAGAATCTATTCCATCAGAGGAAAGGTAATCGCAGCATAAGCCAAAACAGCCATTATTTGGTGTTATTTAAGAATCCACGAGAGAAATTGCAAATCTTGACTATGGCCAAGCAAATGTATCCCGGGCAAACTGATTTCTTTTTAAATCAGTGCGAAGAGGCTGTAAAAAGACCTTTTGGTTATCTGCTGATTAATCTGAAGACTACTACCCAAAATAATTGTCGACTGCGAACAAAAGTCCTGCCCAGTGAGGAAGGCTTTAACCAAGCAGGGTTTTAAGAAAATATTCCTCAAGAGCTTCGAATATCTAAAGCAAAATCTTTCGCCTGTCCCGCTTTTTCCAGTTATGCTAGAAACGATCGAAACGATCTTCGGGACGATGAGAAAGCTAAGCGATACTTTCAGTTGCAAAACAGATACCTAACCCGTCATTATGACGTCACTATGACGTATTTCGTGACGAAAAACGCGTCATAGCACCACATACACTAAGTAGAAAAAACTACAATTTTGATTTTATGTAACTTTGTCCTTGCTCCCCCGCCAATACATTCATTTTTCTCGCGTTTAAAATACCCCTAATTTTGACCATATATGGTCATTTGGCGGTAAATTTGAATTGCTTTAATTAGCTGTACTTTACGTCTTTTTATCCGATTGCAATAGGGTTTTCACCAGAAATCATAGATTTCTATACAGAAAACTAATATAAAATTTTTACCTTTTCTTTCCTGAATTTTTATTCTGATGCCAAATTTGGATATCATTTATGACGTCACAATAGCAGTCACATGGGATGAAAAAAAAATTAACAGGTAAACCTTCGTCCCTGCCAAGTTTTGTCTCATTCGATGCATTCTACTTTTGTCTTTGGCCTAAAACTCTCAGTTTTGAGAGGTATGGGAGGAAAAGCCCTACGAACCGACCACCGTGCTTGCTAAACTGTTAAATGGACCTCATGGTGTTGTGACGTCATTACTAGCACTTGCCTGAACATTTTTAGCATAAATTAATTAACACAAGTTTCCCGCGTATTTTATCCATGACGCATTTATTAAATTTTGATCCCCCAAAATTCGGCAAATTCTGCTGGAACACCACTACTATTATGTGCTGACTCGACGTTACATTATTAATATGTTATGGTAAATTTATATCATCTCATATGTATATAAATACAAAGACACGTCGATGCTTCCAAAACGTAAATAATGGAGTCGAAAATCCTCTTGAACATACATAGACCTCTTTTAAAGTTAGTTTTCATTTTGTCTCATTTTAAGCAGTTCCATCATACCTTTGCGTAGATATTTGTTTCTCCAACAGTGAATAACAGGATTAAGGAGCGAGTTTAGGAAAATACACGACAAAACGAGAGCCCTCAGATTCGTCTGCCGTATATCGCGGGAAAATATCCCGTACAAAAGTGATGGCACAAACGAAAGGAACACGAACGTGATAATTATACTTGTAGTTTTTATGGCTTTCTTCTCCTCTACAAATTTAGTCTTAGTTTCGCTTGGAAGTTGTTCTGTTTTTATGCGACGCATATGTCGGCGTGAAACAAGATAAACTGTCGCATGACAGAATACAATAATAACAATGGCTGGGATGACAGTTACATAAACGAACACTTCAGCAAATGAATATGTTACCGGTATTAACCATAAAATTACAGAAATAACTGAGATAATCCAGCTACAGAGTACAGCGCCAATTAACCTAGGTGTGGTTATGAGGCTAGCATATCTTAGTGAGAACTTTATGGCTATATACCGCTCGATACTCAGTAAAGCTAAGATCAGCAACGATTCAATACTTGGGAAAAGACAAAAGAATACGGTCTTCCTGTAAAAGTGGCAGTAATCCTCCACCGATGCACCTGACAGAAAGAAGATTTCTTGAGCGATGAATAATGGTTGTGAAACTAAGCCGACTGCCAGATCTGTTCCCGCTAAACAGGCCAGTAGTATGTTGTAGTTGGACTGTAATCGGCGTCTTGTTTTTATGGCGATGATAACTAACGCATTCATCAAGATGATAATAGGGCATGATCCTAAATTCAGCGCGATAACAGGCAAAGTAGCAAGGATGTACTCCCAAAAATACAGCTCTTTCGCCACGCGACAACTAGCAATATCCTTAGTGGCCGAGGTATTAGTGAAATTCATCGCTGCTGTTTGGGACTGAATATCTCCGTTACTGTTCAATTCTTTTTCGGCTCTTTTAATGCGTCGACAATGTTTGTTATTGAAAGGACTCTGTTACTTCCAGATTCGGAGCGCAAAGCTCTACATGCAGATGGTCAAAACGTGTCTAATCTTTAAAGCTTAATTGCTTTCAAAAGAGTGATTTAAGTAGGGCTTACAGATTCAATCTGAATGGTCCACATAATATCCCTAAATAATTATTTGTCTTATTGACAGGCTCAGTCCCCGGGTTCTCCTCGACGGGGTTTTCGTTTTTTTTTATATATATATAAAGTTGTTAAAATGCTTTTTATTTCGTCATATTATGTGTTTTTACTCGAAATATAAAATCTGTTAACTTGGTAAAAATGGCTTCTAATATCTGTCATTACTGACATAATAGCAACTCGATCATTTTATAGGTAAAAGAGAGAATATTGAAAGTTACTTATTTTCGGAAAAGAATAAAATAAGCGAACTTCACTGACAAACTAGGTATATATGAATATTTAAAAGCTTTTCTTAAATCTGAGGAAATTTGAAAGTTATAGCTCCCAAGGATTTTCAGATTTAATTTCCGTGATTCACGTTAGATTCTAGGGAAATATCCTAGGAGATAAATTATGATTTTTTAAAAAAGCTAATACGTTACGTACATATAGGTATGTCAACCCGTTGTTTTTGCTTTGTGTTGTTTTGCTTTTGCTCTTATTTATAATTGATATCAGACAGAGTATAGAAATTTTAATATTTTACATTGATAATGAGGAAATTTCAGTATTTGACATAATGCAAAGTATAGAAATATTGTTATTTGACAATTTCCAAGAATGTAAAAGTTTTAAATTAAATTTAATTCAATTTCCTTATTTGATATTATCCAGCACATATAAATTCTAATATTTAACATTCGCAATAACGAAATTTCCATATTTTATACCATGTAGAACCTAGAAATTCCAAAATTTCACATTCATGAGAGAGAGAAAATTTCGAAATTTCTCTTCGAGTGTTGAAATTTCGTGGCTCCAAGTGACCATGTAATTTTCTTTTTATTATATAAAATCCTCACACTAAAACAAAAGACGCTTTATTATTTATTTTAAACCTTAAGGTTTGAAATTAGCAATAGCTTACAGTCAGTTGTATCAATCGGAAACAAAGTCTATGTAAATAGAAAGTGTATGAACAGGTAGACCGTTGGCATAAACTTAGGGCACAAAAAATTGAATAACATTAACAAGTAACATATCATTCTATTTAAGCTTACTCCTGGCTTTCATCGCTTTCATTGATCAGATATCTCTGGATACTTGAAAGAAATCCTCTTAAACTTGTGGTTTCATAGTCAGAGCTATCTTTTTTTCCTAGGCTAAAGATGACTTTCGAAAGGTAGTCGTTTAGAACTTGTGGTGAAAGCTCTTTAAGAGATGTTGCGTAAGCTTTCTATTTATGGTATCAACAGGAACTCTTAAAAGTGGTTTGAGTCGTATTTAAGCAATCGAAGCCAGAAGTGTAAGTTTAACGGTCATTTATCACAAGCGAAACGAATCACTTGTAGAGTTCCTCAAGGCTCCATCTTAGGACTGTTACTTTTTCTAATATATATTAACTATCCGCTACCAAATTGTCTAGAGAAGGCTGCCTCTAGAATGTATGCTGATGATACCGATATTACTTCGGCTGCTTCTGACTTGAATGTCCGTGGAAGGGAGATGACGAGCGAATTAAAAAAAATAAAAATTTGGCTCCTGGCGAACAAGTAAGTCTAAATGTTGCCAAAACTAAATTTATCTTGATTTGTACTCGCCAAAGATTACCGCTGCAAGGCAGTAAGCAATGCAAAAACAAATCCAAATCGAAGGGGAAAATATTAACCAAGTTGAGAAAGCTAAATCATTGGATGTTCTTATAGATGACAATTTGACCTGGAAAAACTGCGTAGACGAAATTTCTCTGGCATTGGCGCCCTAAAAAGACTTAGGCCATTCGTATCATACGGCTAAAAATATTTATAATTCCCTCGTGCAGCCACATTTTGATTATTGTTACACAGTCTGGGATGGCACAAAATAATCAATTAATTAGGAAACTTCAGAAGCTTTTAAATCGTATCGCCCGGGTCATAACAAAATAGAGGTGTGTTGTTAGTTTTTCTCCACTTCTACACCCACTTGTGTGGGAAAACTTGATCTCCAACAGACAAAAGCATAAGGCCATCTTGGTTTTGAAACCTTTACGTAATCTTGCTCCAGTGTATCCCCGCCAAATGTTTTGCACATTTAGTGCTAATTATGATCCAAGAAACTTGGCACAATAAACATGTTATTCTCCCTTGAAAAACTTTATCATACTACACCCCTACCTAAAGCGAGAGTCTAGATTCGTGAAAAATTGGGATAGGAATGCTTTCCTCTTTCTCTCTTAGATGCTGGAAAAAGATGAAACCCCTTTTCCAAACAATAAATCCAACATTGATGGAACTAGCAATATCCACCTCTTCAAGACGAAGACGGAAACTCATTTCTGATTCCAGCATTGGGGATACACTCAACGACTTCTTTGTGAACCCAAGAATACATAAAAAGGAAGAGGACTTCGATAACCATCCGAGCATTATAACAACTAAGGGCAAATCGTATCGAGTTGATTTCGCTTTTATGGAAATCACTACAGAAAACGTAACAGGTTGCTTATTAAAGATAAATGCTGAGAAATATACCGACCCTGATGGTTCCTCACCAAATATCTAAAAGTAGAAAGTTTTAGAATGCTAAAAGTATCTGCTTCAGCCATAGCCTCTCCACTAGCCAATCTGTATTCGCATTAGGGCTCTGCCCAGCAGATGAAAAAAGAGCAATGTCACCCCTTTCCACAAAAAGGGTGAAGCGACAAAAAAAATAATTACCGACCTCTAAGTTCCCTCTCCGCAGTCTCCAAGCTTTTCGAAAAAGTGATGTTTGATCAACTGTACCCTTCCTTTGCATCAAATTTCTCACGTAATATGTCGGGCTTTCTCAAGGGACATTCTTGCGCTACAGCGTTGATCAAATTAACAGATCATGATTGGAGACGCGCTCTTGATGAAAAGAAAGATGTGAGTGTGGCTGCCATCTTTCAAAGGCTTTCGACTGCATTTGCCACAATTTGCTCCTTGCAAAATTAAAACCATAGGGCGTACTAGAGCCAGCCCGATCAAATTATAAGATCATATTTTGATAACCTCAAACAAAGGCTAATATGCAACGATTCATGCTCTAACAGGTCACCTCCACGCTGTGGTGTCTCTCAGGGCAGTCTCCTTAGTCCCTTATTGTTTAACATTTTTATAACAGACATGAACGAAACCGTTCCCTTCTCGTCACTCCGCCGCTACGCAGACGACACTACCCAATATGCGGGGGACAACAGCCCAATTGTGTTTCAATACACCTTAAATAAAGACATGGAAAGTATTTCATCCTGGCTTGACCACAATTATCTTCATGCCAATGGGGACTAGACACAAAAGATGATCGGCCTTGGAAACTCATCCTACTTTTATAACCTAGAATTTGATGGCATCTCCATCAAAGAACACTATAAGATTTATAAGAATATATATTGCTAAAGAAAGCATACGCTAAGTTAACTACACTTCGACGCCTTAAGCGCTTAGTTCCAACAAATACTTTATTGGTCCTTTACAAGAGCTTTGAATTGTCGCATTTTGAATATTGTAATTCGTTAGTTATCGGCGTTAAAAGAATTGGAATAAGAATTGGAAGATGATAATCATTACGGGTTAGGAGCAATAATGAACACTGGAAAAAATTCTGATTTTAAGTCTCTTTTCAAGATCGAAGATATGAATTCACTTGAACACAGACGTATAGAACTGAATCACTGACAATATTCTTTAAATGTTTTAAGGAGAATGGATCGAAATGGATCATGTCATATAGGTAATTTACTTAAACCTCGGTCAAACCTTACGATCTTAGAAGTAATGGGCTGAATGTAGAACAAAGTCCTTTCAATATTAAGTTTTTTCATGATTCGTTTATGCATATATTATCCAGACCCTGAAATAAGGTGGAGGGGGGGAAAGCCGGTCTCACAGAAAATTTTCTTCGGCCCTTCGGACCTCAGTTTGGTCTAAAGATAAGGGGGGAGGCCGGGGCCCCGGGTCCCTCCCCTGGATCCCCCACTTTTATCTCTCAAATCTGAAACCGACTGCAAGCATTCGTAAAGAACGCCCGTGATGTTGCATCTTTTCGCAGACATTAAAGAAACTGAACTTCAATGCACCTATCAATATTATGCCGGCGGGGCGGGGAGGTAGAGCATGGGGTGGGGATTTGATTGCCGTTGTTGGCCCTGGGGAAGGGCATTTGACTGATCTTGTTCTCCCAGGGGAGGGGATATTTGAATCTTTCCTCGCCCGACGTGGAGACTGACGACTCGGACGAAAAAGACAGAGACCGAACATATGTTTCCCACTTCCACGCTTCACGCATGCGCCGTACGGTCTGGAAAGATCTGGAAATCATGGAGGCCAACGAGAACAAGCGAAAGCTGAGTGGATTTCACTGTTTTGTCTTCAAATTTCGTATCATGTGTTTTAGCGTGCTTTTGATCAATTGAACTTCTTAAGATACTGTGGTATCAAAGTAAACGGAAGTAACGAGAAACCAAGTCCATTTTTGCTGGTATAATTGATCAGTGCATGTATGGCTCATTCCCTACAATCACTGTAAGCTTATAAAATTGACTTTCTTTGTACCCTTTACTAAGAACGGTATATTCAAACTTACAAAATGTGGACTTTCTCCTAAAGGTTTCTGTATTCTATGCAGTGTAACATGGATTATGGTTAAAATGTATAATTGCAGCTGTAACTGAACATGTACTGGTGATGCACCAACGTAATATAAATAAAGATTGCAGAGTTTTATTTGGAGATATTTTTATTGTGCGTTTCTTGGGTTCTGCCTTCGGATATTTGACAGCAATGTGCAGCACGGGGTGCGTAAATTTGGTTGCAATTGACTGGAATGATTTGCCCATGGGCAGGGAATTTGACTGCAAATTTTTGAAAAATGTCAAATCCCCACCCCATGCCCTGCCTCCCCCCCGCTCCTCATAGATAATAAACGACCAGTCCCTTCGTACTTGTAAACCATGTACATAAACTACAGCTAAGCAATGCCGTCATTTTAAGTCATCTTCCATGTTGTCTGATCTTGATCAGTTCCAGCATAACTTTACGTAGATCTTTGTTTCTCCAGCAGTATATCAGCGGATTAAACAGTGAGTTCAAAAACACGCACAAAAATGCTATAGGCAATAAACGTATCTGCTTTTCATACTGATTCTTGGGGAGGATACCGGTTAACCTAAACAAGCCGTCCAAAATGCCTGGTATATATGAAAAAAATAGAAAAGCGAGAATTATACTGATGGTTTTCAAGGCTTTCCTTTCCTCGAGGAATTTGGCCTTCGTTTCGCTTGGAAGCTGTTGAGTTTTGATCTGATTCATATGTCGGCGTGAAACAAAATAAACTGTTGTATGACAAAACATAATAACTAAAATGGCAGGAGTAACAGTTAGATACACAAGACGTCCTGAAAGCGTAGAACGTGTCGCTGGTATTATCCAGAAAATGAAAGACATAGTTGAAATAAACCAACTACAAACTACAACGCCAAATAACTTAGGTGTGGTCACGATGCTAGCGTATCTAAGAGAATACTTCATGGCTATATAACGCTCAGTACTCAGTATAGCTAAGATCAGCAACGATTCAATACATGGAACAAGATAAACGAAAACTATTCGTCTATAGAAGCGGCAATAATCCACCAGTGATGCACCCGACAGAAAGTAGATTTCTTGTGCGATGAATAACGGCTGTGAAACTAAGCCCACCGCCAGATCTGTTCCCGCTAAACAAGCCAGTAGTATGTTGTACTCGGACTGTAATCTGCGTCGTGTTTTTATCGCTACGATCACCAACACGTTCATGAAGATGATAACAGGGCATGATCCTAAGTTCAGCGTGATAGAAAACAAGCTTGCGATAGTGTTCACCAAAATGTATATATACTCTTCTTCTCTACTGCGGCAAATAATTGATACGTTAAGTGCAGAATTCTGACTGACGTTAACGTTCATCTCCATTTTTCTTGAGAATGTCACTGTCTTTGAAGGAGTTAATATTTTTCAACTTGTAATTATATAAGTAAACATCGACTAAGCAGAGTGAAACGACTCTGAACGTTGATAAAGTGACAGATAGATCAATACATCATGCCCAAAGTCACTGAAAAAGCCGTTAACAGTTTTGAAAGCTGATATCAGGCAAAAATAAATCCTTCATTACCTGTGATTTCTTTTATGCAAATTTAGAATTACAATGACGACAGTCTTTAAAAAAAGAAAGTTGAAGACGAATTACAAGAGATTAAGGGAAAAGGACGTCTTCTTTCAAATACACACATTACCCATAAAAGCGGAAGGCGGTATTTAATGAGCGATTAAAAAATACTCTTAAATTTAAAATTAAAGCCTATATTAGTTCAGAGCAAACCTCGATAATAAATCGCCTCTCAAAAGAAAGATATGGGCACCTATTCTTTTGTTAAGTCATTCATGGTTCTAAGTACCAAAAGCGAGAAAAAAAAGGCCAAAACTGAACTAATCAGATGTGATTCGGAGGCTTAGAAATTGGTCACTATAATTCATCCATTCTTCCCGATGATTCTGGAAACGCTCCATACTCCCCACTGAATCCACGGATTATGCTGCCACACGTTAATAGAAGGTACTTCTTGTCGGTTTACCTGATCCTCGACAAAAATGCCTTGCAAATCTCTCATCATTTTTAATTAGTAAGTCCTTCAAGAAAATGTGAAGTACATAATCCTTCCTGGATATTGGGCCATTTTCAAACAAACATCATCAGTTTAAGCACTTAAAAGCTCCCCTGTGTTTTGTGAGTTGTGTTTTCAATTACTTTCACTCAATAGGATGATTGATACTGAATTGATTCTGAATATAGTATGACGAAGATAATCTATGGCAATACGCGCTGCAATGAAAAAAGCCGTTTAAAAAACACGAAATATAAAAAAAATACATTTGATAATTCACAAAAGAGATAAAGAATTATACTTACTTAATATTCTATGGATTTTTCCTCTAAGACTGACGAAAAAACAATTTTATCAAATAAGGCTAAAAGACAGCGAAAAAATTAGGCGGTTGCATTAATGTCAAAATAAGAACTGAAATTTCCGGTTCACACTGGGCGCTTTCTATTCATCAAAAATTCCGGTTTGAAAGTTATAAATTCCATGTGCCCAATGGAACGGTACATTCCGGCTACGCAGACCCGAGTTGCCGGTCATTTTCTAGGTTTTTTTAAGGTTTGCTGTATCAAAAGATGTTGTACTTTCAGTAAGCAATGCATTCAGCTTTAATCATAGGTAACGCCTTTTCCACTGAATCGTCCACTAAAGCTTAAAATAAAAGGCAAAGTAACTAGATTTTCTAACCAACCTTACAACGATTAGATAAATAGCGAAGCACGCGCCGATCTTGCAGAACCGAGAAAAGCTGCATACCGCGCGAGCGAGACTTGTGCGTAGGGATTATGCGCTATGAGTCAGACTAACTCCAAAGTTAAAATCCTGTAAGGCAATGCTCATACATTACGAAAAAAATATTCCTTATGTAATTTCTTTCAGATCACAAAGTTAATATCACAGATCACTGCATATAGTTTACAATCAAATTTACTCAAGTCAACATTGTATTGTAACTTAAGGATAATTTACAAAAGAACATAAAAAGAACTGATCATTATAGATAAAATCGAAAAATGTTAGATGTTCCTGAGAGGATTCGAGTAGACAGTGAAGTTGAAAATCGTCGTCGTCGCCGTCGTCGTTATACCCTTGAACGTGCGATGACGTCATTTTAACTTAGTTTCCATTTTGTCTGATGTTTAACAGTTCCATCATAACTTTACGCAGATCTTTGTTTCTCCAACAGTAAATAAGAGGATTAAATAACGAGTTCAAAAAATTACACAAAAAAACGATTGCCACCCAATCTAACTGCTTTTCATAGTAATTCCTGGGTTGGACTCCGGTAAGTTTGATTACCCCGTGTGAAATGCCTGGCACATATGAAAGGAACAGAAAGGCGATTATTATACTAGTAGTTTTCAAAGCTTTCCTTTCCTCTAAGAATTTGGCCTTCGTTTCGCTTGGGAGCCGTTGTGTTTTGATCTGATTCATATGACGGCGTGAAACAAAATAGACTTTAGTGTGACAGCTAATGATAATTAAAGCGGCTGGAAAAACAGTTGCATAAACAAGCAGTCCTGAAAGCACGGAACGCGTTGCTGGTATTAACCAGAAAATTAAAGAACTGGTTGAAATAAGCCAACTACAAACGACGGCGCCAATTAACCTGGGAGTGGTCACGATGCTAGCATATCTAAGAGAATACTTCATGGCTAAATAACGCTCAGTACTCAGTATAGCTAAGATCAGCAACGATTCAATACATGGAACAAGAAAAACAAAAACTGTCTTCCTGAAGAAGTTACAATAATCAACCAGCGATGCACCCGACAGGAAGAGGATTTCTTGTGCGATGAATAACGGCTGGGAAACCAAGCCCACCGCCAGATCTGTTCCCGCTAAGCAAGCCAGTAGTATGTTGTACTCGGACTGTAATCTGCGTCTTGTTTTAATCGCGACGATCACCAACACGTTCATCATTATTATAACAGGACAGGATCCTAAGTTCAGGGCGATGGAGAACAAACTAATGACAGTGTTCTCCAAGAAATACTCCTTAAATCTTCCGCGGCAACTGATTGAATGATTACGTACGGAATCAGTGCTGGCGTTCATCTCTTTCTTTCAAGGGGATCTAACGTCTGTGAAGCGTCGATATGTTTCAGTTTGTAAGTTCGTCCACAGTAGACAAGCGATTGTAAAGACCGGGACCGATCTAGGTATTCACAGATCGATACATCATGCCCAAGGAGTGCTTTTAACGGCTTACCTTTCAAAACCGGTTGAGCCAGAATAAATCAGTCATTTCTTTTTTTTCCTTTTTGCACATATACACTTATAACAAAATATAGAAAAGCGAATTAAAAGCTATTAAAGGGAGTACAGGATGCGATATTAAGAACATAGTTCATCTCAGAATTAAAAAGCCTTAATTACTTTAGGGAGAATTCCGGGGATAAAGTGTCCTCTTTAAACGAACGTCCAGGACACGAATATTGTTTTGTTAAAGCGATTTGCCTTTTACTATTTTATAATTAAAAAAATGAATTGGAAGAATTCCAACGAGTTTCTTAGGCTTAAAAACGAGACACTATGAATCGCGCTGCGCGTTTTGCAAACTTCGAAGGGATTTTGGGTTTTTCTCATTTGAGTGGGGGCGGGGTTAATGCAAATCACAATGTTTGAACATGCTCGCCCAGCTTGGCTCGCAAAAAGAAAACTGAGAATGGCGAAGGAAATCGCGATGTTGAGTGGAATTTTTGTCGAGGGAAGGAGACAGACATTGCTTTATTCTTGCAAGTGACAAGAACAAGAAAGAACAGAAAAATCTTCTAATCGAACTAGTCGATTATAGCCCGAAACAGGACGATCACAAGCAATTGCAACACAGTAAATAAAGAAAACGCATCGAAATCCACCGACCACAAATCACAAGCCAAGACCTTTTAAACTCGTCCAAGTAAACATCTACTTCCTAAGAGGTCCGCCTAAGATTATTGACGGTACAGAAAAACCCAAAAACTCCTTCGAAGTTTGCAAAACGCTCAGCGCGATACAACGAATTTGGCAGTAAAGTCAAGAGAACAATAGATCACAGATGTTGCTGTCTATTTAAAATAGAAATGAATTTCGTGTCGGATACGTGAACGTCGAAGAGGATGCCCATAAATCAACCGAGTACATGAAAATATTGAGTAAAGCCAATAATCTTCCGTGGATATTGCGCCATAAGCACTTTAAAGCTGTTGTTTCATATGATAATTTGAAAAAGGAAACTTTTTATTTCCCTTGAGCTCTCTTTTAGGAGAAGATTTCGAAAAAATTGTATTTAATGTATGATGCAGGAAAGCCATGTCAGTACATTGTACACGTAAAACGAAGTATTAAAGCACACAAAATTTAAAAGTTGCTGATAATTCATGAAAAAAACCTGAAATAGGCTCGGTCAATAATGAAAAACCTAAGAATTATTCGAAAAAACGGACATATTAAGAGGAAAGTATATGAAGTCAACCAATATAAACTCGCCGCAATTACATAAATATTTCTAACATTTGATAACTTGTTTCCGTCACTACCAAATTCTCGCTAAAACTCGTAGTAGAATGACGACGGCTGTCACGTTTTCCCGCCAAAAATATTTTTGCGAAAACCGTCCTTCTTCATCAACGTCGTATACCACGATACACTGGTTGAAATGCTGTTCGATGATTGGAAAATGCCTTCTCCCTTCTGCCTTCCCGTCATCCCTTTGTTGAAGAGCCCGTTCTAGTCTTCCACGCCGAATACTAATAATGAGAGACGACTGGGGACGAGTCAGCCAGGATTGATCGACAGGAATCCCACAGTGCAGCTCATCATGAGCTCATTGCTCAATAGGCCACTTTCAAGTTTCAAAAACCATAACTTTCAAACCGGGGGGGGGGGGGGGGGGGGTACTCCCTTATATAAGCCAAATAGGTATGTGCCGCCCATTGGGTAGGGTTTTTGCGCCGTTTTGGTCTGAAAACGGGCATACACTTTGTCCATTTTGGTCTGGAATCGGGTTGGGTTTTCGAGGGAACTACGGGAGTGTTGGAACATTTTTATCGTTTCAATTCCAACTGAGTAAGAAAGAAAGAGAAATATGCAAATTCGAAATGGATTTGAATAATTTTTGTGTTTGCACCCTAATCTAACAATGACAACATAATTTCTGCCTAAAAGCCAGGTCTGAAAACGGGTATGGATTTTAGAGGTCTAGTCTGAAAACGGGTGTGGATAATGACATTTTTTAGTCTGAAATCGGGTCAGGATTTGATCAGAACCGGGCGGCACACCCGACCAAGAATTCCCAGGAGTACCTCCCCGGGCTTTCAAAACGAGGCTAAGAGCAAAACCTTATGGTGATAATGAGTTTCATCTTCATCAGAATAAAACATCATTTTTTATATCACTTGCTTTGCACTTAGCTTTGCTTTTAAACAGAGGCTTGGGGAAACTCGGAAATGGTCTAGCCACTCAACCGTGACAGGGTCGCAAGAGTTTCGTTGTCCAATATAAATTTCAACACTATGCTAGCCCGTTTACTTCTTTTTGTTAACTTTTTGAGGTACGAGTTCCGTAATAAATTTTCCCAACTGGATGTATCTTTTTCTGATGAATAAATCAGCGTCATGTTTACCCTCTTGAAAAATCCAAATTAAACTCACTGCTACAGCTACAGCTAATTATTGCGTAACGCAAAATACACAAATGATACACAAGACGAACGAACACTTTGTTTTACACAAAAACTCTAACACGTCTTACACTTTTAAATAGCTCTAATAGTTCAATCCATCGAATTAATTCCAACCAAAGTCTAAGCAAAGTTTACGTTACAAAAGGTTACACTGTAATTCATCGCGTTTTTAAGTTTCTCTTCCTTTTTTCTACCCAAGGAATTTGGTGAACACTGAGCAACATATTACAGTGGCGCCTTATTTTTGGCTATATTCTCTAGTCTTGTTTTAATTTAGTTACCGCAGGGACTGCGGAACACCAGAGCATAGGGACTTTTTCGTGTTGATTACTGATAATTCAGATGTTTCTTTGTAAAATGACGTCATAAGTGACATAATAAATGGGTTCAAGAAATACTTTATTGCGTACTCTTCCGTGCAAGTTGATTTCTTGTTTGTCGCGACTTTTGTCATCAAAATTTAAAAAATGACAAAAGTCAGACAAACATTTCAAATTAGTCTCACTGACGTCAATTGTGTGTGTGCTATTTATGCGGTTAGAACTGTCTCTAACCCCCCTCCCCCCACCCCCCTCCCCCGCTACAATATTTTTTATATTTCTAATGGCCCCTATGATCAATTTGTGGCGTGGAAAGACGCCGTATAGGGACTAGGCAAACTTTTGTCATCAAAATAAAAAATGACAAAAGTCAGCCAAACATTTTAAATTAGTCTCACTGACGTCAATTGTGCGTTTGCTATTTATGCCGTTCGAACTGTCCCTAACCCCCATCCCCCCTACTATATTTCTAATGGCCACTATGATCAATTTGTAGCGGAAGTAACAGGCAGTTGCTCGCATTAAGTTGGTTGGTTGACTGTTTCGAATACGTTTATCAGGTGGTCGGTGAGATGATTTAGTTGTCGCCATAATGCTGGCTACATAATAGATTAAATGTTTTTGATTGACAAGAAAATTTCAGTAGATAAGCCCTTGACATTAAGAAACATTACAAAATACGACAATGTGTTATTAAAGTTAACGGCAGCTAGGCTCATTACAAATTACGACAACGTATATTACAATTTACGATAGCTTGGTTATTACAATTCTCGACAACTGTTATTACAATTTACGACAGATATTACAATTTACGACGACTGTTAATACAATGTACGACAGGTATTAGAGTTCAAGACATTATTGCAATTCACGACAGAACACATGTTACGTGAACGTCGAAGAGGATGCCCATCATTTCACTGAGTACATAAAAATATGAGCAAAGCCAATAATCTTCCGTGGATATTGCGCCATAAGCACTTTAAAGCTGTTGTTTCATATGATAATTTGAAAAAGGAAACTTTTTATTTCCCTTGAGCTCTCTTTTAGGAGAAGATTTCGAAAAAATTGTATTTAATGTATGATGCAGGAAAGCCATGTCAGTACATTGTACACGTAAAACGAAGTATTAAAGCACACAAAATTTAAAAGTTGCTGATAATTCATGAAAAAAACCTGAAATAGGCTCGGTCAATAATGAAAAACCTAAGAATTATTCGAAAAAACGGACATATTAAGAGGAAAGTATATGAAGTCAACCAATATAAACTCGCCGCAATTACATAAATATTTCTAACATTTGATAACTTGTTTCCGTCACTACCAAATTCTCGCTAAAACTCGTAGTAGAATGACGACGGCTGTCACGTTTTCCCGCCAAAAATATTTTTGCGAAAACCGTCCTTCTTCATCAACGTCGTATACCACGATACACTGGTTGAAATGCTGTTCGATGAGTGGAAAATGCCTTCTCCCTTCTGCCTTCCCGTCATCCCTTTGTTGAAGAGCCCGTTCTAGTCTTCCACGCCGAATACTAATAATGAGAGACGACTGGGGACGAGTCAGCCAGGATTGATCGACAGGAATCCCACAGTGCAGCTCATCATGAGCTCATTGCTCAATAGGCCACTTTCAAGTTTCAAAAACCATAACTTTCAAACCGGGGGGGGGGGTGGGTACTCCCTTATATAAGCCATATAGGTATGTGCCGCCCCATCAGGTAGGGTTTTTGCGCCGTTTTGGTCTGAAAACGGGCATACACTTTGTCCATTTTGGTCTGGAATCGGGTTGGCTTTTCGAGGGAACTACGGGAGTGTTGGAACATTTTTATCGTTTCAATTCCAACTGAGTAAGAAAGAAAGAGAAATATGCAAATTCGAAATGGATTTGAATAATTTTTGTGTTTGCACCCTAATCTAACAATGACAACATAATTTCTGCCTAAAAGCCAGGTCTGAAAACGGGTATGGATTTTAGAGGTCTAGTCTGAAAACGGGTGTGGATAATGACATTTTTTAGTCTGAAATCGGGTCAGGATTTGATCAGAACCGGGCGGCACACCCGACCAAGAATTCCCAGGAGTACCTCCCCGGGCTTTCAAAACGAGGCTAAGAGCAAAACCTTATGGTGATAATGAGTTTCATCTTCATCAGAATAAAACATCACTTTTTATATCACTTGCTTTGCACTTAGCTTTGCTTTTAAACAGAGGCTTGGGGAAACTCGGAAATGGTCTAGCCACTCAACCGTGACAGGGTCGCAAGAGTTTCGTTGTCCAATATAAATTTCAACACTATGCTAGCCCGTTTACTTCTTTTTGTTAACTTTTTGAGGTACGAGTTCCGTAATAAATTTTCCCAACTGGATGTATCTTTTTCTGATGAATAAATCAGCGTCATGTTTACCCTCTTGAAAAATCCAAATTAAACTCACTGCTACAGCTACAGCTAATTATTGCGTAACGCAAAATACACAAATGATACACAAGACGAACGAACACTTTGTTTTACACAAAAACTCTAACACGTCTTACACTTTTAAATAGCTCTAATAGTTCAATCCATCGAATTAATTCCAACCAAAGTCTAAGCAAAGTTTACGTTACAAAAGGTTACACTGTAATTCATCGCGTTTTTAAGTTTCTCTTCCTTTTTTCTACCCAAGGAATTTGGTGAACACTGAGCAACATATTACAGTGGCGCCTTATTTTTGGCTATATTCTCTAGTCTTGTTTTAATTTAGTTACCGCAGGGACTGCGGAACACCAGAGCATAGGGACTTTTTCGTGTTGATTACTGATAATTCAGATGTTTCTTTGTAAAATGACGTCATAAGTGACATAATAAATGGGTTGAAGAAATACTTTATTGCGTACTCTTCCGTGCAAGTTGATTTCTTGTTTGTCGCGACTTTTGTCATCAAAATTTTAAAAATGACAAAAGTCAGACAAACATTTCAAATTAGTCTCACTGACGTTAATTGTGTGTGTGCTATTTATGCGGTTAGAACTGTCTCTAACCCCC